TCTTTTTTTTTTTTTTTTTTTTTTTTTTTTTTTTTTTAGATTTTTGAAAACAAGTTGTCTTTTTTATTTTTCCTGTAGTCCGGTGACTTGTGGGGTCAGCCACATTTTTAGTTCCAAGTGGTGAAGAGGACCAAATGCTTCTCTCCCAGTTATCTTCAATGTGCTCACTTTGAAATAGTGGAGCAGAGAAGTCAGGTTCTTTCTTACTCTAGGAAATTAACTTTTTTCAGTGCTAGAAGTCCCCCTTTGGAACAGGATTATGATACACTGCTGGAACTAAGTTACTTGAAAGTCTCTGAGCTTACCTGCTTTCACCATTGTTATGTCTACTGGGAGCTCATGTTATCTGAGCTAGTGTTCAGCACTTCTTTGTGCTAATTGGAAGGTCTGGGTTTAATTTACTTAACACAGTGTGTGTCTCTCCAGTATACTTTAAAAGAGCATATATTACATCTTTTTTATGTAGACAGAGACTCATTCCTCTTCAAGAGTCCTGCATGATTGTTTCTTTGCAAAGCACAAATGAAAAGTGATTCTTGTAAACAGTGTAGTGACCAATTTGATTGTCTAAAGGTATTGCTTAATTAAAACTTCTGTTTGTCTTTCAGACACCCCGAACATGTGAAAACTTTATCAAATTGTGCAAGAAGAACTATTATGATGGAACAATTTTTCACAGATCAATTCGTAATTTTGTGGTGAGTATTGAACAAATCCTGTGTAATGCACAGTATGTGATGTCCTCAAAATATTTATTTAGCTTAATTCAGTTTTAGTTTCTTCCATGCATGACAACTTGCAATAGATGTATATTAAATATACCATCAGAACTAGGATTGTCCTAACTTACTAAATTTGTACTTACTAGTCTTACTAACAACTGTGTCTGACTAATATTGTCACTTGGAGCATCACTGCATTTAGTAGTGCTTTTGCTGCCGTTCCAGACAAAGCCTTTGAGAGTCATTGCCTTGGCAAGGCTCTTGTTACCTTCCCCAAGATTTGGGTGGGTGGTTGAGGAACAGAAGCT